GAGCGTGCCCCGCGGCTGCCCCGGCCGGCGCTGCGATCGGGGCGCGGACGGCCGGCGCGGTGAGCGTGGGCTGGGCTGTGGAAACCGGTGCGGCTGCAGTTTCTTGAAGGGTTTGGAGGAGAAAAATACCTTGGCGCGATGGAGCGTCGCTCCGGTCTCTCAAGTCGCAAACGGGGACTTCGGATCGGAGCGGTCTTCTTTACCCAGCAGGCGGTGCGGGTTAAGTGTCACCTGGAGGCGGTAGTTACAGCTCTAACCCACCTACCCGGGTCTTTATTCGGGAGAGCGCACAGAAGTTGGGAAGGAACCCGTGCACTCGACTTCAAAGAGAAATATTTAAAACTTTTCCCCCGTGCAGTGCAGTAGTAGGCCCAGCTGTGTTCTAGATGTTCAGACAGCGCATCGCAGATTTGTGCTGTTGATTTCTCCATTTATTTAAATTATAAAGCGCTGGAATTATTTTATGATTAGTTGTAAAAGGCTAACATTACCTTTCTGTGTTCCACACGTACTTGTTCACATCAAGGACAATTGGACTATTGATTTTTTTTCTTTTTTTTCTTTTTTTTCTTAACTCTACTTTCCTATTTTACTTTGTCCATTAAGTCGCGAATGGGTCTGGGTTACAGACCTACGCACCGTGTGACCTACAACTTTGGGATGGGGCTGGGGAGTGCTGGGAGCTGTGGCAACTGTACGTCAAAATCACCTGAAATGGTTGGAAGGTGGCAGGCGGTCTCTTTCCCCAGAGGCTAAGTGACCCAGCTGGCTCTTCACTGTTGCAGTGAGACCTTGCTGTCAGAGGTGGATCTAAGGCAGAGCGGAGGGAGGTGAAGCCGCAGAGCTGAGCGGTTGCCCGGGCCTGTGGGCGTGGTGGGATTGCTGGAGTGTACGTGTTCCAGGTGGAAAGCACGGGGCAGTTTATAACCAGAAGCATTCCTCCCGAGCTTTCCTGGTCGGTGGCCTAAGGCCGGCTCAGAATAAGAAATCTACATCTCCACGCCTCCAATCACTGGTTGAGATTTCTTTTCTCATTTTAAATAAAACTGTCTTTTTCTTCACAATTTTTTGTTGGTCATTTTGTGTTCTCTTGCGAAGATGGCCTTCCACACTGTGTAAGCCTCAGGTCCCCCACGGGATCCATCCTACTTATTAGTGTTAACTGTGTTTGTTAAGGGCTGAGAAAAACTTAAGATCCACCTCTGTGGAAACTGGCACCACGGACTAAAGGTAAATTATTGACTAAAGTCTGAAAAGAATACTGTGGTTGGAAAATTTAAAATTACACATTTTAGTAACTTAAAATTCCCAAAAGTAACCATAGTTACACAGGCAAATTGGGGAACGTCTCCTCCGTTTGGCCTGTTACCCTGCCACCGTCCAGCCTGCCCGCTGATGGCATCTTCAGTTGCTTTTGGTTTTTTGTTGTTGTTGTTTTGGTGTTTTTCTGGTACCAGGAATGGAACTCACAACCTTGCGCTTGCCAGGCAGGCGCTGTGCCGCTGAGCTGAATCCCCAGCCCCCTTCAGTTGCTTTTGAAGCTGACTGCTCTTCCTTTCCGTGTGTAAAGATTGCCAGCAGTCACATCTGTACTCACCTTATCCTTTACTTTGTGGATATCTATCAGGTGCCCCCTTACAGAAGCTTTCCAAAGAAAAAGAACTTTGTCTAAGTATTCCTTTTCTTCCCACAACATGTTAACAAATGCATGGCAAGTACGTTTGTGTGTGTGCGGGTAGGATGGCTTTGCTGTGTATCCTTTGAGTAAAAAGCAGCATTTGTCTCTTACTGTAACAGTTTTCTAGTCTGTGTGGCAAGGTGTGACAGAAACTTTAGATGACAATATAAATGAAGAGCTGCTGGCCAGTAGAGTGGTGCTCTGAGTTTTCATGTCCATTGAGGAGAGCAGGAGGCCAGATCTCAAGAGACCATGTAGAATACAGAAGATAGTGATTTAAAAACAAGTAGGGAAGTTGGAAGGGAGGAAAGTGTAAGCAATGATATAAATACATAAGTCAAACAAAGGAAAAATTATACAGTGACAATGAAGTTCAAACTAAGGCAAAGTGAAGAAGGGTTTACTTCTTGTACCAGACTTTCAGTCTATTTAAACCCTAAGATACATGGGAAACTTGGGGGTATAGCTATCCTTATCATCACCGGTCATCTTGGAGAAGTCATGAAATGGACTGGTGCCTGGAAACTAGAGATAGGTGAATATACTTAAAAAGAAAAATAGAAAGTTCTGGAAGGTATGGGCCAGTAAACTTAATTTTAATATCCAGCAAAACCATCAAATGAATCATTTAGTATTTCATTGATAAACATTTTTTTAAAAAAGAGATGGGCAACAAGTTGACGTGTTTATAAGAATAATGAAAAACTTAAGATTTTTAAATGGTAGATCAGAAGTATGACAACAGACAAGTTTGAGGAGGGTCTGAAATAATTCATATTTTTGTAAAAAGGGTTACTTGTGAAAGTACAGGTTATAGTATTGTCATCCAGTTTTCCCATAATGAAATATATGTAATGCGGTAACTATAAAGAGATTTCTTTTTTCATGCGTATATCTTTGTATTTAGTATAATTTTTCAAAACAAAGACACACACACACCAAAAAAAGGGACTACAAAGAGGTTTCTTAGCTCACAGTTTGAGAGGTTCAGAGGCGTAGTGTCCGTGTCAGCTTAGCTCTGGTGCCAGCCTCCCAGTGGATGTATTCACAATAGAAGATGAGCAAGGCAGAGTGATGACATGGCCGGTCAGGAAGCCCGGGGGGCTGGTGAGTGCTGAGAATTAGCTCAGGTCCTAAGAGGCCTACTGAAATCCCCTGTGGGTGGTACCGGGGCCCTTCCAGTAGGCCCACTTAATCCTCCGACCACCTCCCGAAGTCAGTACATTGAGAACAAAGCTCCCAACACATGAACTCTTGGCTCAGACCATATCCAAACCGTAGCGGTGATGGAGGAGCATAATTATACTGCTGGACAGTTCCGTCAGGTTCTTAGAAGGTTTCAGAAGCCTGCACTTGTCTCTCGTTCCACATTGAGTTTCTGTTGTGTGCCTGTATCAGAATTGTTTCTAGTGGTTGAAATTAGATTTTAGTGCAAGGACTATATGTAGATTTATAGCAGGGTTAAGGAGAGAGAAGGTATATAGGGGCACTTAGAATCTTAGAGTAACCAAAAGGTAGTAGCACCCCAGCTCTGAAGGGACAAGGGATGGAAATCGTGTTGTTGGGACCCAGTGAGAGCTGGAGGTCCAGAGAAGGGCCACGTCTGCCTCTTCAGTGTGTACAGGGGGATTGTAGGTACTGCAGCAGTGTGGTAACAGAAGCAGGAAGGGATGAAGGAGTATGTTTCCTGAGCACAGTCCTTTCTTCTTAGTCACTTTCTTCATTGCTGGGACAGAATGCCCCACACCCACAGTTTAAGGAAGAGGTTTGCTTTGGCTCACACTTTAGTCTGTAGTTAGCTGGCTCCAAGGTGGGATGGCATGGCAGAGAGGCATGGTGGGAGAGCCACTCACAGCACTGTGGACAGGAAGCACAGAGTGAAGGGGCGAGCTGGGGAGGGAGAAAAATCTTTCCTGGTCTTGCTACCAGATACCAGCCTCTTCTGACCAGACCCCACCTCCCAGCAGCAAGTCGGCTAGCTATAAGGCCCTGTAGTCCACTCATCCCCCAGAAGTCCTGCCTGTGAACCCGTGAGGCTCTTGGGGGACAATTTGATATAAAACAAAACTTTCTACCCCGGTCCCAAAAAGACTCATGCACAACTTTTATGCAAAAGGCATGTAGTCCATCTCGACAGTAGCCAAAGTCTTCACAGCTTCAGCATTGCTGAAAGGTCCAAGTCCAAAGTCTCCTCTGAGACTTAAGGCAAACTCTTATCTGTCAGCCAGTCTAAAACTAAAAAAGAAAATGAAACACTGCTAGCATTTAAAGGCACAGGGTAAATATTCTCATTCCAAAAGGGAGGAAGAAGGGGATAGAAAAAATGGTATGAAACTCAAGATCAGAACTCAGCAGAGCAAATATTAAATCCTGGAGCTCCATGACCAGGACTCGGAGAAAGTTGCAATGAGAGTCAAACTGCAGATGTCTCGGGTGGCCCTGCCCGTAGTGCACTGCTGGTGGTTGTACCCGTCCCGGCCTCTCTCGGGCTGGCCCCGCTCCCTCCTTGTGGTTGCCCTCAGCAGGTGTTCACGTTCTTTGCAGCTCGAGTCTCCTGACGTCTTCACTGCGCTTTGGCTTCTCTCTCACAGCTTCATGCTCTGCCCTCTCAGGGATACATTGCCTGGCCTTCCGGGCCTTCCTCTGAAATGTGGGTGAAAACGTCATGGCCTTACACCTCTTACATTCTGCATCCCTGTAAAGGCAGAAGCTCCCATCAAGCTGACCTGTGCTCTGGGGCTGTTTCTGCAGCAGCACCTGCAGACTTCCAAACTCCTCCCTCAGACCAGCTCCAGAGGTGTGGTCTAGGCCACATGGTCAGGTAGTATCGCAGCAACAGGCCCACTTCCCAGGTACCAAACCCTGTCGTGGGCCCTTTCTTCATCACTGGGACTCGATACCCAGCATCCACAATTTAAGGAAAGAGAGGTTTACTTTGGCTCACACTGCAGTCCATGGTAAGCTGGCTGCGAGGGAGGGTGGCATGGCAGAGGGGCATGATAGAGGAGAGCTGTTCATGGCGTGGCAGAGAGGAAGCACAGAGTGAGGGGATGGGATGGGGAGGGAGACAAAACCCCAGACACCCAGCTCTTCCAACCAGGCACTACCTCCTGACAGCACGCCGGCTGTCAGCTCCCATGATCCAGTTCCCTTGCACAAGCCCTGCCTATGTGTGCACGAGGCTCCTGGGGGAAATCTAGACGTGAACCATAGCACTGCTGCCCTTGGCTCTCCTGCTTATTCCCTCATCTAGATGCCATTGTGATGTCATCCAGGGCAGCCTACCAGGGCACAGTGAACAGATGAGTCGGGGCTGAGAGTGGAAGTAAGGAATTAGTAATCAGAACATAGTCCCTTAGGGTGGAGGACAGCTGTGGGTAAAGATAGGTACACTACTGTCTCCCTCTCCATATGCTCTTTTACAGAGCAATCAGACTCCCTCCTGTGAATAGTTGGAACCTCTGCCCTCTCCTTGAAATGGGTGGGATTGTGACTGTATGGTGGAAATAATGCCTTGCAACTTGCAGAACTGGATGGTAAAAGGAAATAAAGGAGTCATTTTGCCTATTCAGTGGATCGTTCATTGTGCTTGCTTGCTTTGTCTTTCTCTCTCTCCTTCTTTCTTTTCTTTCTTTCTTTCTTTCTTTCTTTCTTTCTTTCTTTCTTTCTTTTTTCCTTCTTTCTCTTTCTTTCTTTCTTTCTCTTCCTTCCTTCCTTCCTTTCCTTTCCTTCCTTCCTTTCCTTTCTCTTCCATCCTTCCTTCCTTCCTTTCTTCTTTCCTTTCTTCCTTTCTTTCCATTCTTTCTTTTCTTCCTTCCTTTCCTTTTCCTTCCTTCTTTCCTTCCTTCTGTACTGGGGATTGAATGCAGTACCTTCACAATGAGTTATATCCGTAGCTATCCTTTTTCACATTATCCTTTTAAATTTTAAGACAGAGTCTTGCTAGGTTGCTCAAACTTGTGAGTCTTCTGCCTCAGTCTCCAGAGTGTTGGGATCACAGCTGTGTGCTGCTGCGCCCACTGACATTGCCCTTTAAGGCTGCTGTGTAAGGAATCCTTGGTGCTATGAGGTTATACTGAGATCCTGCTAAGTGGGTGGCTTGAAGATGCCTGTGTGATTTCCGCCTCTAGCACTGGGTGCCATCCGCCATCAGATCTCCTCAGCTGAGAGTCCCTGTATTGCGGAGAAGAAAACCAAGCCATTTGTGCTGTGTGCTGTTGGTGTTCCTGACACAGTAAATCACTGAACATAATAAAATACTAAATAACAAAGTTGTTTTAAACCACAAAGTTCTAGGATGGTTTGCTACATAGCAGTAGTAACTATTACAACCACTAGTAGCCTAGTATAAGCAGCCTTCTGAATCTTTTGAT